CGTGTATCTTCATAAGTATACATTTTCAAAATATTATTCTAATTCATAATCAATATTGTGAGGAACGATTGTTCTGTTAATCAATTTCTTAATAACATTATACCAAAACGCTTATTATGTTTATTAGTGTATTTGATTATCAGAACAATCACGATATTAATTATTAATTAGAATAATAATTTGTAAACGTATATTTATGAAAATATACGTGATTGAAAACAAGTTAACTTACACTCTAAAATCTTGAATCAAATATAGTGTTCTAGGTGAGGGATCAAACTATAATAGTTTTTTATATTATTATTGAAAGATAATGAAATGGAAATGAATACGTATATAAAAAATACTATTATACATATTACCATGAAAAATGACTCACATATTATTGAAGGTGCCAGATTCATCAAAGTAAACATACACCAACAGTTGCCAACTTTACGTCTGACTTGAATACCTCATTATGTATGCTAAGGTTTTTTACCATTTCATTATCTTCCAATAATAAAGATGTATTACGCTAAAGTAGACAAAATATGGTAAAACAATTTTATAAGAATTCTTTTAAAATTAATATTGATCTTTTGTGATTTATTTTTAAAATATAAAAAACTGTTATTTTGATCACATAGAACACTATATTTGATTCAAGATTTTGGAGTACATAAGAATTCTTTTGAATTAATACTGATCTTATGTGATTCATTTTTGAAATCTAAAAAACTGTTATTTCTATCTCTCACCTAGAACACTATATTTGATTCAAGAGTTTGGAGCACATGTGTGTGAGTTAACCAGTTTTCAATCACGTGTATCTTCATAAGCACACATTTACAAATTATTATTATAATTAGTAACTAATATTGTGAGGATTATACATTATTACCATGAAAAATGACTCATATACTATTGAAGGTGCCAGTTCAAAGTAAACATACATAAAATGTATATTCTTTTGTTGGGTAATTATACAGAATACCCCCTCCACCTCCGATTTCGATAAAATTAGGCTCATTCGACGCGTTTTTGCATAAAACGAAAGAATTTTGAAGAAATAAGTGTCGCTCTGCTCTACGAACCGAGATATTTAACATTAAAGTTGACGACTATTCAGGTTAGGAAATCTGTCATACCGACTACATTAGCCATGTTTTCTACATGTATTCCGATGTTTAGAAGTCGTGCGCTCCTCAGCAGGGGGAAGGGGGAGGTGGACAGAGGTCTGCCCCGACAGTACGATCGTAGAAGTCGTGCGCCCCTCAACAGGGGGGAAGGGCAGGTGGACAGAGGTCTGCCCCGACAGTACGATCGTAGAAGTGGTGCGCCCCTCAGCAGGGGGGGAGGGGGAGGTGGATAGAGGCATGGTGGAAGTATACAAGGTGAATCATTACGCACCTTGGAAAGTGGGGAGAATAACGTCACTTCTGATCGGCCAATAAGCCATTGAGCTGCTTTCCGCATGTCAAACCGCGTAAATTCAAATATTGATTTCTAGGTTATGAAATGAAAACATCATTTAAATGTTTTACGCAGTATACAAATATATTGCGTTTTAGTTAGAAATATAGATGAAGCTTTAAATATAAAATAGAAAATTTTAAAATGATAATAATATCTAAATTTCCGCAAAATATATCATAAAAAACTTGAATCTTAATAATAATATATAACTGATGATGTAATGTTTAAATATTGTCAATTACAGTTTCATTATTGCTATGTGATATATAGAAAGTGTTTAGAAATGAAATATTTACTATCAGTAAAGAATATTTGACATAAACGGTTTTGACTTAACTCCAAATATGTATCTATATCAACAATGAAACCATCTTCTTTGAAGCAGAATGTGTCCAATATACAGAATAATTATGCAACCCTTTCTGTCAAATTTGCGAATAATTTGTTTTCTTCACAACTATTACCTTTTTACACTAGCGACTACTACAACTTTTTCGAATGTCGGGAGTACACCTGAAGTGATTTCGAACTTGCCTTCGTCTTACTCGCAAATTTAAAATAGGAGGATGTTGTATAAGGAAATAAAATACTAAGCTAATATGAAATGAACAATGTTTTTTTTTATAACATAATTTACTCACTATTGCAAACACAAACATGAATATAATATGCAGATTTAATTATTAACAATGTTAATAAACAAAATTCGTACTTGAAACATTCTAACCGTGTTACATTCAATCAGTTACAAATAACATTCGTGATTCTTTGCAGCTTCTTATTTTTCTTTTTTGTTAAGTTATTTTCACGCACATTATTATTTACGTTATTATTTTTTTTTTATTTATTATTTCCTTTGTCATGGGTGTCGAAAAATTATAAAAAATTGGCTGCTTCCTCTTCGAGAACAGACCGCGAGCCATTATCACCTGGCAGGTTTTATGAGGTCCATAAATCTTCTGCTCCTTTCTGTCGACATCTATTTTATTTAAAATATACACCTCGTCGAATGTTAAAATTGTTACTTTTTCCGCAAGTGACAGATCTTCTCCTTTTAACCGCATAATATTTAAAACCTCATGCAGAATTCCCGGTTTCAGTTGAAAGTTGGATATCCACTTTCGGAGGGTTGAGACGCTAGGAAGTGGAACTTTTCTTACATCTCTTAAATAATTATAAGCTTTCGAACTGATAGATCGCAGCGCAATTGCGGAAGTAATGTCCTCAATAGCCCAATGTATTCGGCCAGATTTGCCAGATATTAGTTTTCTTACTTGACCCTTGGTAAAAACTTAACTGAGAATAGAGGTCGCATATTCAACATTCGACTGGTGAGATGAGTTGTGTATATCAGTATTCTCGTTACGTTTACGTTTCAACTCAGCATTTTCTTGTAGAAGGTGGATATTTTGCTCTTGAATCTCCGCATAATGTTTCTTCGTCTGCTCCAGCTCCTCCAATAACTCACCGTTTGTTCTCGGTGGCAAAGTCAGCGAGCTTCTGAAAAAAGGAAGGTTCATATAAATCATAATACAGTATCATAAGAAAGTAATTGTGCTCCTATTTTCGGTGTTGCAGTATAACTGGTTTTACATAATAATGATAATAGTAATAATGATAATAATAATAATAATAATCATATTTCATATTAAAATAGCGTTTGTTGAAAGAAATTCATTAGTAACTGGACATTTACAAACCTACTCCGAAAACTAATTTCATAAATATCTTTTGAAAGGTTTAAATACATACATTTCATGTTCACAATTCATCAGTTCGCAATTTCCTCGGGGTTTACAATTCTAAACTCCACTTTGTGGTTCCAGGTTGTTGACACTAGAGTCCTAGATATCAGAGAAGCGCAACCGGCTTAAGTCAGTATCGCAAAATTACTAAGAAAAGTATTAAAAATGGCGTCATTTGCAGACGAAATATGAAATCCACCAATCGTCTATTAGTCAGCCATTTTTAATACCACTGAATGAATGTCATGATTGGCTGACAGTCAGCTAATCAGGACGCGGAACATCGGTTGCGCTTCTCTGATATCTAGGACTCTAGTTGACACTAGTATTACCAACAACTTTTTCCCTCAGCGGTTCCTGCACATTTACCACTGCGCTATTCTCCTCCATGGCACTTCCGACACCTGCCTCGTTTCCTGCACAAGCTGTCTTTGATTTTGCATAAGCAACCAATTGCGTATATGTTGGTATAGCGCCACACCTGTCATAAACAATTGGAAATTAACATTACAATAACTAACTCCACATGAAATGTTGTTATAATACACAATGATTATCTCTACACTGACAGTTGAGATCTGTTAGTATGCGATCAATACGATCTTAATAATAATATTTGTACGTAAGATAAGACTCTGAATCTGCCATTCCGCGATTTAACCGAATGGACAATACAGATTACTTTCGTTTCAATCTAAAGAACTATACATAAACGTAACATCAACATTGAAAAGTGTGCACTTATGGCTTTTTTTGTTTCCTATTTTGTCCATATCCCAAAATATAGTCGTTTCAGCGAGAAGTATGCAGTTACACTTTTTAAAGTATTCCATTTATAATTAAAAATAATTGATTCCACTAAAATATCGAATTATCTCAAAATAAAACAAAAATACAGATACGACTTTATCATTGGTAGTTTCAACTTGAAATACAGTTTATTTTTATGAGCGCAACAATGTAAATTTTTTTGCTGGATGATTAGTGCCCATTTATTATATAATAAATAAATAAATATAATAATTAACTCCATTCAGTATAACAAGATGGTAAACATGTACAACACATAAAAATCTTACCATGACTTCGCATGATGAACTGTATTTCTGGAAGAAGATAAGCACATTTTTTTCGGCTGTGGTTGTAAATCTAAATTTAATGTAGGCAATGAACCTTTCTTCAGTCTCAACATTATTCTGCTCTGGCCACATTTTGTTTTAGGAATCGTTGCTCTCTTTTCAATACACTCGGGTGCGAAATGAATTTCGCATACTGCAGCTGAAACAAGAACGTTAATAAATGTTTAAATATCTTTAAAATTGATACGAAACCAATGCTTTGAAAAGTATTGTTTTTTTGCCCATTTACGCGAGTAAATAAATAAAATGTGTAAATAAATGTCTTACCCGTGCTGATTTTCAGTTCTTCGAGCTGTCGACCACAAGCCTCGAGCCACTTATTTTGAAGATCAGGATCATGTGGAAAGAAATACAATTTTGAATTGTTTTCTTTCAAGCCCGTTGAACGATTTTTGCAGTGTCGAACTGCACACACAGGCATGCCGTATAAATAAGTTCGTTTCTAGTCGCGACCGTTGTAACCGGGTTTGTTTGCATCCTGTATGTCACACGGAGACACACTATCAAACGCCATACACTCACACAAAAACAACTCAAGCGCGTTTACTTCCTCCCTTTCAGCTCACACAGCGATTGGTTGGTTTATTTTACCACTGCGCAACTCCTAAGTACTTCACCTTGTATACTTCCACCATGGATAGAGGTCTGCCCCGACAGTACACCCACGGTAGAGTCCTAGATATCAGAGAAGCGCAACCGATGTTCCGCGTCCTGATTAGCTGACTGTCAGCCAATCATGACATTCATTCAGTGGTATTAAAAATGGCTGACTAATAGACGATTGGTGGATTTCATATTTCGTCTGCAAATGACGCCATTTTTAATACTTTTCTTAGTAATTTTGCGATACTGACTTAAGCCGGTTGCGCTTCTCTGATATCTAGGACTCACACCCACGGTAATTAATTCTGTCCCTCGGAAATTTTCACAAAATGAAAAGTGACCTCCTTTCTATATTAATTGTCACTATTCATGCACGATAAGGTTCAGTCGTAACGTTAATCGTGCATGGATTGTGACAATTAATATAGAAAGGTGGTCATTTTTTATTTTGTGAAATTTTCCGAGGGACAGAATTAATTACCGTGGGTGTACATACAATCGTAGAAGTAATGCGCCCCTGTGCAGGGGGAGGAGGGGAGAAAGTTACTTCGCGTGGAAAGTTCAATGTTTCTGAACAGGGAAAGGTGTACAATTTCGTGTCTGACAACAATATATTTGTTTTGCAGTGTTAATTTCAAATTTGGTGCATTCTGTTGGACTCAAACGATACCAAGCGCATGCGCACGAAGTCAGACAGCATGAAGAAGGCATACTCGTAG